TAGATTATAGTATTGTTATTAGAGATGAGGTCTGGCTTGGTTGCCCAGGCTGGTCTCAAACTTACGGCCTCAAAGGATCCTCCTCCATCTCAGCCACCTGAGTTGTTGGGAGCCATGCCTGACTTCAAGGGTTCATTTTCTATTTTGGATAAAGTCCTCTGTCAGACGTCTTTTGTCTATGGCCTGTCATTTCATTCTCCTGACAGTGTCATTCAAGGACATTAAGTTTTAAATTTGCATAAAGTCTAGCTTGTCAATTCATTCTTTCATAGATCATGGCTTTGGTATTATATCTAAAAAGCCATCACCAAGGGAATGTAAATTAGACACAAATTACCCAGTAGGGAGAACACTTTGGAGGTTCCTCAAAAAACTAAAAAAGAGAGCTACCATATTATCCAACAGTCCCACTGCTGGGTATACACCCCAAAAAAGTAAGTCGGCATATCAGAGAGGCACCTGCACCCACGTCTGCTGCAGCAGTGTTCACAACAGCCACAATCTGGAAGCAACCCAAGGGTCCACCAACAGACCAAGGGATAAAGAAAGCATACACATGATGCATGATGATACACATGATGGAGGACTACACAGCCGTCAGAGAAGGAGATCCTCTCATCTGCAACAATACAGACGGACCTGGAGATCATTAAAATAAATGAAATACAGAAAGACAAACTTCGCATATTCTCACTTATTTGTGGGAGCTAAAAATTAAAACAATCGAACTCATGGAGATAGAGAGCAGAAGGACGGTCACCAGACGCTGGGAAGGGTAAGTTGGGTCTTGGGGAGGAGGCAGGAATGGCTAATGGCATGAAAATATAGTTAGAAAGAAGGAATATGCCCTTTGATTTGACAGTGCAACAGGGTGACTATAGTCAGTAATTGTACATTAAAAATAACTAAAAGAGTATAATTGTTTTCAACAAAGGATAAATGCTTGAGGGGATGGAGACCCCATTTACCCCAATGTGATTATTACGCACTGCATGCCTGTTATCAAAATACCTCACGTGCTCCATAAACACCTATTATGTACCCACAAATATTAATAAATGATTGGAAAAAAATTATAAGCCATCATCTTACCAAAGGTAACCTGCATTTTCTCCAATTATATATTACAGTTTGCATTTTACCAAGGGCCATCCATTCCTTTTAGTAAATTTTTTTTTTTTTTGAGACAGAGTCTCACTCTGTTGCCAGGCTAGAATGTAATGGCGTGATCTTGGCTCACTGCCACCTCTGCCTCCCAAGTTCAAGCCATTCTCCTGCCTCAGCCTCCTGAGTAGCTGAGATTACAAACACTCACCACTACACCCAGCTAATTTCATATTTTTAGTAGAGACATGGTTTCACCAGGTTGGCCAGGCTGGTCTTGAACTCCTGACCTCAGGTGATCTGCCTGCCTTGGCCTTCCGAAGTGGTGGGTCAGCCACCGCACCCAGCTCCTTTTAATTTCTGTTTAGGGTGTGGGGCCTGTGTTGGATTTCTTTTGCACATGTGGATGTCCAGCTGTCCCAGCACCATTGTTGAAAAGTCTTTCCTGCATTGTGCTGCCTTTGAATCTTCGTAGGTGAGTTGACTGTATTTATATGGGTCTATTTCTGGGTCCTCTAATCTACTCTATGATTTGTCTCTCCTTTTACCAACACCACGCTGGTTTGGTAACTGCAGCTTTCCAGTGAGTCTTCTGGTCAGGTAGTGTCAGCTCTGCTCCTCTCCTTTAGGATTGAATTGACTATTCGGGGTCTTTTGTCTCTCCATATAAACGTTAGGATCATTTGTTAATATCCACAGAATAACTTGTGGGGATTTTGATTGAAATTGCATTGAATCTATAGATCAAAGTGGAAGAACATGTTGCAAATTGACTCTTCTCATCCATGAACATGGAATTTTTCTCCATTTATTTGCTTCTTTTGTCCCTTTCATCAGGCTTCTGTAGTTTTTCATATATATATATATATATATATATATATATATATATATATGTATATAGTGCACATTTTTTAACTTGTATCTAAGTATTATAAAAGTATTTTGTTTTTAATTTCAAATGCACTCATCCCTATCCCTTGTTGGTATGTAGGAAAGTGGCTGACTTTTGTATATTTTGAAATCTTGAACAGTTGTTTATTATTCTAGTGGCGTTTCTTTGATCCCCTTTTTATACTTTCTACCTGGAAAATGTCATTTGTGAACCAAGACAGTTTGTTTCTTCTTTCAGTATCATTAAACTTTAACTTCCTTTTCTTGCCCTGTTCCAACTGTTGGAGCTTCAAGTGTGGAAAGGAGGTGGTGAGAGCGGACATGTGGGCCTCAGTCACGATCTCAGTACGGAAGTTCCTATATTCTCCCTACTGTACATCATGTTAGCAGTGGTGAGAGCGGACGTGCGGGCCTCGGTCGCGATCTTAGAGGGAAAGTTCCTATATTCTCCCTACTGTACAGCATGTTAGCAGTGGTGAGAGCGGACGTGCGGGCCTCGGTCGCGATCTTAGAGGGAAAGTTCCTACGTTCTCCCTACTGTACAGCATGTTAGCAGTGGTGAGAGCGGACGTGCGGGCCTCGGTCGCGATCTCAGTAGGAAAGTTCCTATATTCTCCCTACTGTACAGCATGTTAGCAGTGGTGAGAGCGGACGTGTGGGCCTCGGTCGCGATCTCAGTAGGAAAGTTCCTACGTTCTCCCTACTGTACAGCATGTTAGCAGTGGTGAGAGCAGACGTGCGGGCCTCGGTCGGGATCTTAGAGGGAAAGTTCCTACATTCTCCCTACTGTACAGCATGTTAGCAGTGGTGAGAGTGGACGTGCGGGCCTCGCTCGCGATCTTAGAGGGAAAGTTCCTATATTCTCCCTACTGTACAGCATGTTAGCAGTGGTGAGAGCGGACGTGCAGGCCTCGGTCGCGATCTTAGAGGGAAAGTTCCTACATTCTCCCTACTGTACAGCATGTTAGCAGTGGTGAGAGCGGACGTGCGGGCCTCGGTCGCGATCTTAGAGGGAAAGTTCCTATATTCTCCCTACTGTACAGCATGTTAGCTTTGAGGTCCAGTGGACAAGAAGCGGTCAAGTGAAACAAAAGGTCTCACCCGATATTCCAAGAACTTGCTGACAGTGAGAGGTTGGAAAACATAGAAGACCCCACCCATACTGTGAGCTCCTGAGGACAGCAAGGGGTCTGCGACGGGGAGACCTTACCCACACACACTGTGAGGTCATGAGAACAGGGCGCAGCCTCCTCCAGGCTTGATGGGGGTCCATGTGGGGGCTGCAGGTGGTGAGCCCTTGCTGCTGGCTCCCAGCACTGAGAGGAGGGAGGGGCCCTGGTGTTCAGGTGCCTTGGGGCAGGCTTGGGGGCCAACGCTGGCCTCCTTGGGGTGCCCAGACAGGCTGAAAGCACTCACTCACCATGGTCTTAGTGTAAGGACCCCAGGGGAGATAGTGCAAGGTCCCCTTCTGCCGGCTGCTAAGTATAAATCAATAGGAAAAGGAGAGCAGAAAACTATTTCCAAATCAAGCACAAAAGAGCATCAGAGCTCCCTGGAATGTGGCTTTCTAGAGAGGCTGCTTCCCAGTTTTCCTGCCAGGCACCTGCACTGGCTCTGGAGTCTGGCACCGCAGCCCCTAGTCCCGCTGGAGCCCCAGAGCAGGACCTCGTGTGGAACTGGAGTCTGGGCAGACACCCTCAGTGAGTGACATTGAGACCAGGCCATCCTGGACTAGAGTGGGCCCTGGACCCGTGTCAGGTACCCTCTAAGAGAAAGGGGAGGAGGATCTGAGATGTACTGATGGGGAGCGGCCATGAGAGGATGGAGCAGAGACTGGAGTGTGTGGCCATGTGCCTGAGGTGCCTGAGCCACCAGGAGCTAGAGTGTCCGCCCCAGAGCCCTTGGAGAGAGCACACCTTGATGTGGGGCTTCCGGCTGCAGAGCTGCGAGGCCCCCGCATTAGAGGCTCACTGAGCAGCCCCGGGAAGGCAGCACCACTGGGAACTGGGTGCACCAGAGTAGACGCCCTGCTGGCTAGGGCCATGGTGCGGTCCTAGACCTCACCTCCCATGTGCCCGCACCCTTCCTTGGAGCCCTGCATGGGGCATCTGGAAGCAGCATGGCAATGGGGCACTGCCTGCAATGTGACACGCAGTCCCGCCAGAGGCCATGCTCACCTCCGCCTGGGCCCCCAAGGGAGCAGCCAATGACCAGACACAAGACACCAGGTGGAAACACCAACGCCCACCTTCAAAAACCACTCCAAGGCCAGCATTTCCCTTTATTTCTGGATGGAAATGGGGCCAAAAAGTGCAGTCATGCTAGTTTCACTTCTGGCTAAAACCGAGATGATAAAAGAACAGTTGGGTGTTACAGGATGCCCTCAGGTGAGCTGGCTCTAACTTCACTCACAAAGACATAGTACAGCTAGGAAGGCCGGTCTGTCCACGGAAGGGAACTAAGATGAGAAGGGCGGCACACTGGCCCCTTCCAGGCCTGTGCCCATTGTTCCTGGGGCCCTACCATGTCCATTCTTCTGCGCCATCTGCAGAATGTGCAGCCAGGTCCTGCCTGCCAACAGGGAGAAGCACGTGGGGGGCAGGCATGGTACACATCTGGGGAGGCCCCTGGTGCAGAGGCGGCCCCACGGCAGCAGCCCCATCCAGGGGAAGGCCACAGGCCTCTGTAGTCCTGGCACCACCTCCCAGCCCGTCATCTCAGGGGGATGTGCAGGGCACGACAGGATGCAGGGACGTCTACCCCTAAGTCAGCCTCTTCATCCGCCTGTTGTGCTTGTCAATGGTCAAAGTTGCCCTGTCCACGGCTGCTGCCACGCCATCCAGGGCTTCGTCCTGTCTTTCCAGCTCGCTCTCAGCCTCCAGGGCCAGCCCCTTCATCCTCCTCAGGATCTGGGGAGAAGCACAAGATCACAGCAGAGGCTGCTTCTCTGCAAACCTTGGCACAGACATCTCCCTGTCTCCCCCCGGGAATCTTTGGGTGATCACCTGGGTGACGCCATCTGCGAGCCAGTAAGAGGGAGCCCAGAGCCCAGCACCAGGGTCAGGGCACAGCTCTGCTCCTGCCAGCACAGACCTGGAGAGATGAGGTGCCCGCCCCACCTCCTGCCAGCTGTCTGCCCCCACCTCCCTCCTGGTGCTGTGGCCGTACCCTGGCCTGCTGTCCCCAGGCTGCAGACTGCTCTGTTTGGCTGACCCTGAGGGAGTGTTGCATGTGGGTGTGGAATTCCAGCCCACGGCAAGGCAGCCAGGGACCCAGGCAGGCAGCTTGGATCTGAACCCCAGCTCTTGCCTGGCCACTGTGCTCATGACCTATTTGCACGCGGGTCCCTAACTGCAGACTGAAGTGGGAAAGCAGGATTAAAAGAAACACAACCCCTTCTCTTGTGTCTAGGTATGGGATGTTTCATGCACAACACAAACGACAGAACGAAACTCTCCATGCAGTGGAGGGCGGCTAGCACCGTGGAGGTGTGGGAGACGGACCCGGCCCAGCAGATGCAGAAGCTGGAGTCACCCAGGGCCAGGCAGGTGTGGATGGGGAAAGCTGGACTGCCCCAGGAATGCTAGCACAGAGCTACGTCCACTGGGTGGTGCACCGGGGGTGACAGGCTGAGGACTGAGCTGGTGCTGTGTTCCTGGCATGGCCAGCTGTGTTTGGTGAGGAATCTAGGAACCACACTGTGAAGCGCTGCTCTGCACACTCAGCCTTGGTCCAGAAACCTCATACGCCCACTTGACCACGGACAATAATACACTAGAAAGGAAATGTGAGTGACCCACCACTCACAATAAATGTCCATGTCCTCTTTCAGGGAAAGTTCTGGATCACTGCTTAGGTCAGGAGAAGGAACCCTCAGTGCTCTGTGTCCCCATGAGTTGGACGGCAGTGACCACACACGGTCCGGGGGGTGGTGATCTTGAGGGGGCCCCTACGGTTCCTCTGGATGTCTCCAGGAACAGTGCACCTGAGCCCTGAGGGAGCAGCCTCCCCACGCTCCACCCAGTGACATGGCAGGAGGCTCAGCGTCCTGCGGGGTGGGGTGGCTGGCCATGAGACGCATGCAGCTAAGGATTCAGGGTCACAAGCGATGCCCCCGCCCACGGTCCGGCCTTTGTCTGACCCATGAGAAACAGTATGGAGGCAGCCAACACAGAGGCCCAGCCGGTCAGATCCAGCTCCCTCCGCAGAACGGTGCAGCTCACATGAGATCACAAATGCAAACGAGCTGTGAAAACCAGAAAGGGCCCAGCCAGGGCCACTGCTGCGCTACAGAAGGGAGCCCTTCCCCGGCCGTACCCAGCCCCTCTCTGCAGATGCCACAGGAGTGAGGGGCTGAGGTCACACGGGCACATGGCAGAGGTGAAATGAGCCACATGTCCCTTTCCAAATGCAGCCTTCCTGCTGAGATCTTTGTCATGAGACAGATGGAGAAATGCCTGACTTGAGCTGCGGTCGTAGACGGCAGGGCTTCTGCACCCTCGGGAGCTGGCGGAAACTCATCTGTTGAGTCATGACTGAGATCGCTGGATGGGGCTCTGGAAAGTATACGGTGGGGTCAGTGGCTCCAAGAGGACGGGCAGATGACCTCACACAGGAGGTCTTTCCACTGCCTGGCCCATGATCTCACATGGCCCACACCCAAGCTGTGCTGTGAGAGGGAAGAAAGCTCAGCCCACCCCTTGCCCGCTCTGCTAACCCGCTCCCGTTCTCACCTGCCCCCTGCTCTCAGTGTGATCCTCAGGCACTGCTGGAACCGGCAGGCATGGCCCCTAGAAGGGAGGGCAGGGCTGTGTGCTCACGCCGTCCCAGCGCCCACGTCCCGGGAGGAGGCCTCCCGGAAGCCAGGGATATGGGTCCGCTCCGGCTCTGTTCTCAGTGCCTATGTCGCTCGTCGACCATGCTAAAATGTGACTTCAGCATGTTTATAATTTAAATGTCCTTCAGGGCCACAGGGTTCCTGTGAGCTGACAGCTGGGGAGATGGCCCAAGCCCTTGCCAGGACCCACAGCTCCAGTGCCTCCCACCAGCCCCTGTGTCAGCCCGGCCCTCCCCACGACCATGGCGTGGACTGCTATCAGGAGACACCACTATTTGTCTTTTCTGTTAATAGCTGTGCAGGTAGGAAACCAGGAAACAAGAGAGAAGGAAAACAACAAAATCTGTCCATCATCCAGACCACTATGAATCAGGCTGGTCCCGTGAGCAACACGAGCACACCCCCATCTGGCTTTCTCCCCGTTGCTGTGTCCATTCACTCTTGCAAATAACTCATATTTGGGATTAAAGTACACAAGTTTGTTTTCTGTTTTTACCATCTCGTCGCTTTCCTGAATGAAAGCTGAGTCACTGGCTTCGCGATGTCAGCTGACACTGTTCTAGGAACATGGCACAGTTACCTCCAACTCTGTTTCACAGACAGGGTGGCCTGCCCCAGTCCTGAGAATACACTCACTGCACACAGAGAGATGCTGCGGGGCATGACCCAGGCCACATCCCACGTCACTGCCAGAAGTCACACAGACCTTAAAGGTGGTGGCAGGGCCCTGGGACATCCAAGGGAGGCTGGACCAGAACCTGCTCTGACTCTCATTCTGGAGCGTCTTCAGCAGGATGACACTAAGGGCAGCTGAATAAGCCACGTTAATCTGCTAACCCCGACCCAGATGTTCAAAGGCAAAAATGATACAGAAAATAAAATACTGTACTGAAGCCAACAGACACAGAGTACCATTTGGCACGTATCAGTGCCAACAGTTATTAAACATACATCATGCTCGTCTTTTATACCCAGTCCTAGCAAGCCGCCATGAAGGTTAGACCCACAGCAAAGCCCAGCAGAGACAAGCAACAACTCAGGGATCAGGAGCCACATGGAGACCAGGACCACAGTGCAACATGAAGCCTGTCCACCTAGGGCCACCTCCGACAGACCCCACCAGCCCCTTCCCCACACGGCACCTGTCCCCCAGGGCCACCGACACGCATACCCCAACAGCCCGGCACTGCTGGCTACCACCTTCCCTGCAAGGCTGAGTGGCACATGCCCAAGATGCTGGCTGTGCTAGTGACTCTGATGTGACGTGATCGCTCACTACGTAACCCATGAGTATGTACAATTATTCTCAACTTAAAAATAGCGTCGGCCAGGCGCAGTGGCTCATGCCTGGAATCTGAGGCGGGCAGACTGCCTGAGCTCAGGAGTTCGTGACCAGCTTAGGCAACACAGTGAAACCCCATCTCTATTAAAATACAAAAAATGAGCTGGGTGTGGTGGCAGGCACCGATAGTCCCAGCTACTTGGGAGGCTGAGGCAGGAGAATCACTTAAACCCAGGAGGCAGAGGTTGCAGTGAGCCGAGACGTGCCACTGCACACCAGCCTGGGCAACAGTGAGACTCCATCTCAAAAAAAAAAAAATTGTCTATGACATCTCCCCAAAATATAAAGAAAATAAAATAACCTTCTTTTAAAGACAACAAATTCATACCTTTGTCTAGTGTATAAGAAAGCACTGGGGTAATAATATGCACAGGTAATTAATTTGTGACCAAGACCAGCTGATCTGCCTGCAGAAGTGGAGTATTTTACTGTATATACAGACAAAATAAAAGCTGGCTCCTGCTGTACTTTTTGATTTGAAAATTTCTCACCACGCTGAAGACCTTAAAAGAGAACTCATTCCAAACAGCCTGTTGAGACCCTTGGCTTGCCTGCCAAAATTGCACTTGAAGCTAATTAGTAGTGCGAAAACACAGGAGCGATCTGTGCAGCTGCTGGGGCTGCAGACAAAGAACATTCCTGAGCGAACCCTCAAACTGCAAGCGTCCTGGAGTGCGGGTCCAGATTCTTTCTCCTTTAAGAAGGGACTGAAGTAATTACATGGCATCGTGTGCATTCCACATCACGGGGATGGAAAGAATGGAGAACATGAAGTCTGGCCAAACCCTAGAAACAGTTGTTCCTCTGTGGCCTGGGGTGACAAGCCATCTAGCCATTATGCAGGATGCTGTCAGCTCCGGGGCAGCCAGTGGCCTCGTGCAGGAAGCCTCGTGGGCTCTGAGTCAGAGGCTGGGTGCAAATCAGAGTTCCCGAGTCCCTGCTACATAAGTAAAGAAACCCAGAAACTGGCCTTCCTTCCAGCAAGTTCTACCTCCACAGAAACTACCTGATTAAAAGTGCTTTGGGCCAGGCGCGGTGGCTCACGCCTGTAATCCCAACACTTCGGGAGGCCGAGGCAGGTAGATCATGAGGTCAAGAGATCAACACCATCCTAGCCAACATGATGAAACCCCATCTCTACTAAAATACAAAAATTAGCTGCGCGTGGTGGCACATGCCTGTAGTTCCAGCTACTTGGGAGGCTGAGGCAGGAGAACTCCCTGAACCAGGGAGGCGGAGGTTGCAGTGAGCTGAGATCACACCACTACACTCCAGCCTGGTGCCTGGCAAGAGCAAGACTGTCTCAAGTAAAAAAAGAGTGCTTTTGGTTTTGGGGGAAACAAACTTTAATAAACTTCAAAGAAACAGAGCAGGGAGTGCTTGAAGAAAGACAATCCAGTCCGGCCCTGGGGCATGCCTGCCAACCAGGCCTGAGAAAAGTGTTTCTGAGAAGCTTTGGCTCAGCGCCACCGTGGATGCCTGGCCAGACCCAACCCCGGACTCTGTGGTCCTGAGCAGGTGTGGGACCCACCGAGGACATCGGAGCTGGGAAGGGGAGCATCTCTAGGTGACTCAGGCAGGCAGCAGGAGGCACGACCTGAACAAAGAAACGCAACTGAGCGTGGCCAACACTGCAGCTTACGGCCGTGGTCCCCCAGGAGAGCACCAAAGCCACTCTCCTCCCACACACCCGTGAGGAGCCAGCCCTGGGTGCTGCAGGCCTGGCCAGCTCCCTCGTGCCCTGGGCAAAGGCTGTTCTGGAAGAAAAGCTTCTGTTTGGTGCCCTACTAGGGAAGCGTCTGTCTCCATAAAGCTCCCGCAGACTCGGGGCAAAGCATCCCCAACACTGCTGGGCTGACAGCAACAGAGGCCAGAAGCCCAGCAGAGCAAAGACAAGAGTGTTTAGCCTTCTCACCATCTCCATTTTGTTTCTAGAGACAAAAAAATAAATACAGAAAAAGGGCCTAATGAAGTGGGGAGGGCCCACCTACCAGGCAGCTGTGCCCCTGCACGCACTGTCTGGACAAGGCTGAGCGCCAGGGCCCCAAGGTGTCCGGGGCCTGTGCTTTTGCTGCCACCAGCGGCCCAGGAAGACGGTGCTCCGGAGGCACGCAGGGCCTTGAGTCTCCAAACTCTGCGGGACGTCAGCTCTCAGGTCCCACAGGACGTGTCTGCTCTGGCTTCCCTCGCAGCGCCGGAGTGCGGCCCATCACTGCACCAAGGCAAGCACCAAGAGGGGTCTGCCGTCAGCTGCACTGCCCTGGCCGTGTCATTAAGCTGACTCACTGAGGAACTGTGAATTTTCTTGCAGTGAGAAATTAGCAACCATTTAAGAACAGAGCTGGGATAAATCAAGCTGTCTACAACTCAAAATAGTTCTACCAGTTGGGGCCATTAATATGCTGCAGAGAACGTAAAGGGGGAAAATTGGCTCTCACCGCAGCCAAGCCCTGGAGGCTGTAAAGAACACTCTCCGCTGCGACCTGTCACACTCGGCACTCGCAGACCACCCTGCGGCCCACCAAGTCCCCTCCGCTGCATTCCTGGAGGCCACGGTGGTCTGTGCACTAGCCGGGAGCAGGACGCCCCCACGGTGGTGGAAGGTAGTGAGCACGGCGACCAGCCTTGCTACGCAGAGGGGACTTTGAGTCGGCTGGGCCAGCTGCGCTCACACCAGGCGCGCACAGGAAACGCCGTGCAAAGCGAGGAGCCAGGCCTGCCTGTCCTGCCCCAGAGCACTCCCTGCTCCCAGACTACAGACAGAGATTCCCATGAAGTGAGCCAAGTGCTTGACGGGCCATGAGCCCTCACCAAACAAAGCATTCAGTGACTGTGGACTGGGTACCATGAAGGTGCATCTCACATGTGGAAGAACCTCAGTGGTACCCTCAAAATAGTAAACGAACTGAGAATGCATTAAAACGTGGCTCTTCCAAGGGGATGGCCACTGCCCCACAAAACCCACTCCCCAGCCTGAAGCAACACGGCCAGAGCCGTGGCCAGTAAGTCTGCTTGCAACATGCCAAGCGCCCACACTCTGCCCTGCACGCCGTGACCCCAAGCCCCTTGCCTCTCACCTGCACCTCAAGGCGGGACACCACTGCACACAGAGGTCACGGGAACTGGGTCCAACACTCAGGGCTGTGATACACAGCTCAGAAGCAGCCACGGTGCTGGCCCTGCCATCCAGGGCCACTGCAGCCACCCTCTCCCAGGGGGTGACTCCTGGTCTGGTGAACCTGCCCCTGCATGGCTCTTTCACCCTTCAACAGCTGCATAAGCTACTTCCCAGCCTGAACCAAGACTGTGTAATGCCTGCTGACCACATTTAAAGGCTAGCAAACATGTCAAAACGAACAGAACAGCTAAGCAGAGGATGCACACAAAAACAGCACTATAAACCCATGGCCGGGAGACCTGTGCAGAGTGCTCCCCCACAGCCACAGGAGCCCATTCTCCTCCGCACCAGCTGCCTCCATGGGACACAGGCCGGGGGACAGCCCTCAACAAGCGTAGAGACACGGATCCACAGCAGGTGCCTCTTCCGACCACAGCAGACGGAAGGTAGCAACACGGCAAACTGAAGCGTTCACAAATTAAACAACCAACAG